GTACTCCAGGGTCCAGAGGCCTGGGGGCGGAAGAAGAGGAGGGAGAGCTGGGGTCGTGCCGGGCGGCGCCACCCGCCGTGAGACCGGCTCTTAGGAACCAGGTACCGGGTGCGCATGTGTGGAGAGACCCAGAGACCCAGAGGGCTAGAGACCGAAGGACCCGCGAGGAGCAGCCAGCCAGGGACCAGGCAGAGAGAGAGAGAGAGAGAGAGAGAAGGCAGAGTGAGGGCAGAGAGGGGGCCCAGGGGCAGAGAGACAGACGATAGTGTCTTTCAAGGAGGACGTCACTCTGAAGAGCAAGGAGTACCTGACCCAAGCCAGATGGGAGCTGGACAATGAACAAGGAAGACTACGGAAGAACTCATGCCCTTGAATTGTGCTCCTGGTGAGAACCTTGACTGCACCATGGACTGCTAGAAGAATAACACATCTGTCTTGGAGGAGGTAGACCTGGAATTTCCCTTGGAAGCCAGGATGGCCAGACTTGGTCTCTCTTTCTTTGGTCATGTGGTCAGAAGGGCCCAATCCCTGGAGAAGGACACCATGCTTGGTCAAGCAGAGGGTCAGTGAGACAGGGGGAGACCCCCACAAGATGGACTGGCACAATGGCTGCAGCAGTGGGCTCAAGCGTGGCCCCCATTGTGAGGACGGTGCGGGGTGAGGCCGTGTGGTGTTCTCCTGCTCGTGGGTCACAATCAGCTGGAGTCGACTCCACCTAACGACAACATCCGTCTGTCTGTCCGTGGAGGAAGGGGGCAGACAGGGAGAGGGAGAGGGTGGGAGAGAGAACTTAGAGACAAGAGGGAGAGGATGGAGGAGATAACCGAGCTGGATGCAAGACACGGGGTGAGAGACTGCGTACATCGGGAGAGAAGAGAGACAGAGGGGAGGCAGGGGACAGTGAGAGGCAGAGGGGGATGAGGAGAGCAAGGGGCAGAGCCCCGTCAAGGGAACCCAAGGGTGGGGCAATGCAGAGAGACATGGCTACGGAGGCAGAGATGGCGGTCAGGGCAGACCCATGGAGAAACACAGCGAGAGAAGGGGAGGGAAGAGGTTGTGCAGAGAGGTGGGCAAGGGCCAAAGGGAGGCAGAGAGGTGGGGATGGGGGCAAGAGGGCTCCCCTCACAGGGAGGTGACCGACGACTCAGGGTACGAATCCGTCCAGGCTCTGAATTAGGGGCAGCTTAAGGGAGGAGCCTAGGAGCTCTGGTGGCGTAGTGCCTAAGGCATCTGACTGCTAACCAGAAGGCTGGTGGTTCAAATCCACCAGCCACTCCTCGGAAGGAAGGTTGGGCCGTCTACTTCTGTAGTGATACCATTTCGGAAACCCAAGGAGGGGTCGCTATGAGTCGGAATTGACTTCATGGCAGTGAGTTTGGCTTTTTTTTTTTTTTTTTTGGTAAGGGAGGAAAGTGGATTGCTAGCCTTGGGAACCCTATGGGAGTCACTGTGAGTTGGGGTTGACTCGAAGGCACTGGTTTTAAGGGAGGAAGAGCAGGTGTTCGCTTGGCTGTGGATCTTTCTAGAATCAAGCCCTCTTTCCGCTGAGCCTCACACATCCCCCTTTATGTCATGGGAGAAGACAACAGACAAAACAAACTGACCCACATCTCAAGTCTGCTCTGGAAGAGGCCCAGGGAAGTCACGGCTTTGCTCCGGCTGCGTTTCATCAGCCGCTTTGATGCGGCCGACGGCAGCGCGGCCCGGGCTGCTTCCTGGCGCTTGTTCGGGTTGGGCACCTATGTTAGGGTGGCTCTTTCTTGAGGGATAAATGGAACAGATGTGGTCCATTTCACTTCTCTGAAAACTTGGGAGCTTTCAAAAGGCCGGTGGTGGGCTGTTAGTGGGACGGAGTCCATGGAACTGGGGGAAAGCGTCCCTGGTGAATATACATCAAGGGACAGCCTTTCCCTTGGCGGGACGCTTCTGATAATGACAGATGAATCGATCCCTGGCTGTAATGAGCTACAGAGGAGACCCTTCGCACAGGCCACCTCCTTCCTGGGCCCCATGCTGAGAAGTTGTGGAGGAGCGCTCATTAATTACCTGCCTGCAGGTGAAGCATCATGCAACCTCCAAAGGCTGGAGGCACAGGGAGGCCCGCGATGCCTGGTGGAGGAGGGATGGTGGTCGAGGCTTGGGGACAGGGCTCTGCAGGAGGTCAGGCTGCCCTTACCCGGCTGCCATTCAGAGGGGGCAATGGATGTGGACCTCAAGGCTAGTGATAACCTGGTCCCCTTTGTTTCTGTTCATTTTCCCGAAATGTGAAGTCTGCTGGCTGGGGTCCATTCTCAGGGCAGCTAAGGCCCCAGCCCCACCAGCCGCCCTGCTCGCCGCCTTGAATTCCAAGTCTTGCCATGGGCTATGGGATGTGGCCAGTGCAACCCTGGAGATGGCAGTGAGCCCCACAAGGCCTTTCTGAGCTCCTGGGGTCTGAGGCTGGGCAGCTCTCTCTGTTGGAAACCCTCTGCCCTGAGGAGGAAGGTGGGTTCAGGTTCCTCCCCACGTAGGGCACCCTCTGAAGGTCGGCTCCCCCACACTGGTGTTCTTTTGGACAAGAACCGGTGGCCTCCTGGATGGGAATCCTCCATCACAGACTGGTCCTGGGGCTGCCACCATACCCACCTCCATGCACGGTACTGCCATTTTCCTCAAATGCTGTCCTGACCCAGTTTTGAGGCCCTAGCTGGAGGCTGGGGGTTCTCCTGCCTGAGTGGCTGGCTCAGTCCGCTCTCCAGCTGCTCCTCTTACCAGGTTCTCACGCTGAAGGACTCTATGCCCCCATCCTAATCACCCTGTTCAGGTACGGAACAGCTAGGGACAACCCCGAAGTCTCCTAAGTCTGTAGAAGTATTCAGAATGCCCTGCCCCCAGACAGCTGGAGAAAGTTAGCTGACCTCACCCTGCTTGCTATACCTAACCCATCCACTGCCACCAAGTGGATTCTGACTCACAGGGTCTCCAAGGCTGTCA